GCCAATGCCAGCAACTAGTACCTGAGCTCAATGACAATGTCGTCAATGGGCAGGCCTGCTCGAGAGCAAGCTACCCAGGAACAAAAGCAGAACTTGACACTCTTTCGAGGCGGCTCCGGCCCCCGGGACTCGGAGCGAGTTAAAAGGTACTCGATCAAACCAGAAAGAGACAAACGTCAACGTGGTGTCAAGCCGTCAGTGAGCAACTCAAGTATACCGGTGCCAGCCTGAGTGGCGTGCAGCATTGAGGGGAGAAGTGCCAGAGCTGAGGAGCTGATTCGAATTGTCAGGGGAAACTGAGCTTGCATGAGCCACCGCGGCAGCAGAGCTAGCTCCTGATGGGCATCTCTGTTATTGTGGTACACTCGTGAGCATCACGACAATGAATCGAAGCAGGAGCTCGGGCTAAGAGAGGAAGGTGGTGCTGGGCAACATGGTGCTGGTTCTGGCTCTGGGGGACCTGCACATACCCCATCGAGCGCCAGATCTGCCTCCAAAGTTCAAGCAGATGCTTGTCCCCGGAAAGATTCAGCATATTCTCAGCCCAGGAAACTTGTGCATAAAGGTAACTGACAGAATTATGATTTCGCTGTGATCCCAACACGGGGCATTCTCTCAAACTGCACAACTCTCTTTTAACTTTCAAGAGGCAGCAAATCCTGTGGTGTAACAATGAGCAACCAATCCTCGGTGTCCAATCGCTTGCACAAATAAACATTTCCTGCTCAGTGCCTTGCTGTTAGCGTTGTGGGAGCTGCTTGACCCGGGCAGGTGGTACAACAACATCTCCTGGAGGGCACAGAGACACGACAGCTTTCAGTCCAGAAATTTTTCTGGCAGCAGAGTGTTTCTCGAAGATGCATACCTGTAATACACAATGATTCTCATCCACTTGGGCCCACATGAAAGGGCAATTTAGCAGAGGGGCAGCTCTACTTGCAATCACCTTGAAGCCAGGCTTGTCAGTAGGGGCTGATGTTGCAGCTGGCTGTGTGCAGGAGGTGCAAGACTACTTGAAAGGCCTGTGCAGCGACGTCCACATCGTGAAGGGAGAATATGACGAAGTGCAGAATTACCCAGAGCATAAGGTGCTGACCATTGGGGGGTTCAAGCTGGGGATCTGCCATGGCCACCAGGTTAGTGTTTGCGTCTTGCACTCATCCTTTCAGGGGGTCTTCCGCCTAAGCCCCACCGAAGCTAGCGGCTTAAGCTGTGAAGCTTTCTACGACAGATGTTCCCCCTGACCAGCCCCGGATGTCTGGGGTATATCTGCATGTGGACGTGTCCTCCGTCCGCTCACCTCGTCCTCTTAGGAGCCCGCCATAAACCTGCACTTAAAAGTTTGGTGAAGCCCGAGCTGTGCCTGATGTGTTCTGTTCCCTCAGGTTGTTCCGTGGGGAGATGTGGAGTCCCTGGCCATGCTGCAGCGACAACTTGACGTTGATATCCTCATCACAGGGCACACTCATCAATTCAAGGTCGGCAGCCACAGCTTTCTGAGTCACATGTCTTTCAGCGAATCCATTTTAATGTACTTCATTTCTGCCACTGTCTTGTGCTCTCTTCTGAGTCTCCAAGGTTGAGCAGCATTGGGCAGCGTCAGACTTGATGTCTCTCCCGGAGGAAGTTCTGCACCTACAGTTAAAAAATGCAGAGCTGTGGACATTTTGTCGATGCACAGACAAATGCATCCTGTGTAACTACTGCAGGCCTACAAGCATCAAGGGCGGCTGATGATCAATCCAGGATCTGCAACCGGAGCTTACAGCAGCATCACATATGATGTCAATCCAAGCTTTGTTTTGATGGACATTGATGGACAGGTCAGGATTCCTCCCCCCATCACATGAAGCCATGTTCTGCTGTTTGCTCGACTTCTGAGTGGTTGTTGCGTTTCGTAGTCTTGCCTTATTTCAGCGTACACATGCTGTCTATTCCACTCAGAAGCCTGGCGGAGTCTCCGGTTGCTGTGCTTTCTTGCCAAATAAGGGCAGCTGACACATCATGTATATCTTTAGGCTAGTTTCCAGGCTAACTTCGCTTTTGTGCAGAGGGTGGTGGTGTACGTCTATGAGCTGGTGAATGGAGAAGTGAAGGTCGACAAGATTGACTTCCGCAAGCCCCCACCGCAAGCCAACGAGAGCTGACTTGCAAGGATTGCGGACTGACACGAGAATACATACCCATCAGACTTAAATGGGCGCTTTACGGGTATCCACTGCAGAGATCAGTTGTCCAGCGTTTGGAAAACCTTTTTTCAGCTTTTCGTGGTGACTTTAGATTCAAAAACTTGGATCTAAGTCATTGGATTCATAACAGGGCCATGCCGATGCATGGTCTATGTCTCGCTTACTGGCGCCCTTACAGCCACATGCACATGGCCTGATCGTGGTGCGGGAATGAGTCTCGCGGGCCAACGGGCCGACAAAATTTTCTCAATCTGGTCGATCATTATGCATCACCAAACATGTGCAGCAGTCTGCACAGGCCGCAGCTTATCATTCAGCTGCAAGGGCAGATATTGTGCCCTGAACGCAACGCTCAAAAAATTTGACAACCAGGTTAGATATATCTCCTATACTGCAGTGCTACACAACCAGTCGAAAACTGTAGGCGTAAATGCGAGGGAATGCATAAACACCGAGTCTTCATATTTTGATGAATCCACCGTATATAGGTATGTTGCGGATCTGGAAGACCAACGCACTGCAGACCCCTCTAGCTTCACATGAGTCTCTGTGCGTCGCGACCTGCACAAGCCATACGCATCCGTCCAATATTTTCATGGCCACTGAGCTGATCGGTATGCATATCACGCGCGCTGGCATAGCTTTACCCTGATGCACACTGTAGCTCGCGGAACCAACTCGACTGAAGTACATTTCATTCTGGCCGAGTGGACATGGCCAACGGCGAGCTTAATTCCGGGTTTACTTCAACTGGCTGGCAACGCGCATGAACGAGGGCTCCAACTAGCTGAAGACTAGTGCACAGTACCTGCTTTGATTCATTACTTGTTTGTTGTGAACAGCATGCTCTGTCGTATGAACGCACGAAAAGTGTTCTTATTATGCAGCGACAAAATCCACGATTCAAGAAAGTGACACAGCCTGTACAAAAGTTGACGAACGAGGTTGAAAATTTCTTTCAATGACGCGTATTACTTTACGCAATGCTCGCAGCCAGCAGTCAGCTATGTTACATCTGGCAGACAAAATCGCCACTGCTCTCAAAGTCTATCTCGTTCTCCAGATCCATGTCCTCGTCAAGCAGGCCGTTGTCCCCCATCAAGCCCCCCAAGCCCTGCCCTGGAGGCACAGTGCGTGCCTCCTGCAAGATCCGCATGATGTCCTCAATGCTCTGGGGGGGGTGGTTGACATCGTCAAAGCCGAGTGGCGCGTTGGTCCCTACTGCCAGGTCTGCCGGCAGGTTCTTGAGGAACCACTGGTGATTCCGGATCTCAGCGATTGTAATGCGCTGCAGCCCACGAGAACAGACCCCGTGTCAGTAAAGCATGCACACAGGAAGATTCAGGCGGTGAGAATGTTGCTACAGCACTCTGCAATGAACTTGCAAGGACCAATCGCAGCGTGCTCTGCCGCTGGGTCCTTCTGCTTTTTCTAGCAGGCCTTGACAAGGGATGCTGTTGGGTCTTACCTTCTTCGGGTCGGCAACGAATATCCGGGACAGAAGGTGTCTGCACTCCGGAGAGATCCTGACATAGTCTGGGATGGTGTACAGCACCCCCATAATCCGCTGCATGGAGACAAGTGTCAGTTGATCGAATGACAGACCGCCCTCAGGCATAGGCCCCCCCTGGACAACCCTGACCATCCACAACGTCATACGTCATACTTTACCAGCAACCAGCATCACACGGTAGACCATCTCTCCTACAGGCCAGCCAAACGATGTTTACGTTCCTATTGCACCACCTTGCCAGTACACTAGAGAGCCTGGAGGCTGAAAGAAGGCTTCCAAGGCGACAATACCAGAAGAGTCCCCTATCGGATCCCTGGCTCCATAGCCCCATCTGCAGGCGCTGCCGGCCTGCGGTCGTTGTTGGCGCTCACCTGGATGGTCTTCTTGAAGTTGCGCGGGTCGCTGGGGTCCTCGAAGGGGTACACGCCGACCAGCATCACGTACAGAGTCACGCCGCACGACCACACATCAGCCATCTGCACCCGCCAGGAACACCCCACCGTTTCAATACAGAAGTACCTTACTTGTGGCTTGGCTTTGCTATCAAACCTTGAACATAATACCAACCACCTCTTCCCATGCTCGTTCAAAGCTGGTGTCAGGGGATTTTGAGTTGCGACCTCGACACCGACCTTTTTTGCAAGAAGAAATGCAGACAGGTCAGCAAGGTTGATTCTAACCATTTGCCAGACACTCGACAGGTCAGCAAGGTTGATTCTAACCATTAGCCAGACACTCAACGGCCAGGTCTCAAAGAAGGCTCGGATCCGAAATGGGAAAAACTACTGATTCAAGAACAGCTGTGTTGTCCTTAGGCATCATTTGGCGGAAGAATAACTAGCTCCTGCTCACAACTTGGCTGAACCAGTCATTCAATCCATTCAGACTGACATCCACCACATCCTCCGGAAGCAATGTGGTGCCAGCCAGCAGAGCCCAGGTTTTGAAAGGCCTTACCTTGCCGTCATATTCCCTTTTGGAGAGGACCTCTGGTGCAATGTACGCGGGGGTCCCCACAGTCGACTTGGGTTGGGAATGCAACAGGGACGACTGCACGCATAGAACGCATCAGTGGCTGAGGAGGTGTTTTAAGAAATGCCCATACAGCGAGGCGTTTGTGTGAGAGCACAGAGCTTGCCTGAGACCAACGGAAGATGAGGCATAAGGTATGATGCACGCTTTCATGGCGCACGCAAGGGCTACCAAGCCTCACCATTCAGAATTATAGCTGTTGTGTCTGATCGAATCCACAACAACCAGTGTTTCAGAAGTGCTCTACTCAATAAGCAGCATTCTGTCAACCACCCCCGACACAGCAAGCTAGAAAATTGCAAGTGACGAATCCAAAAAGGAAAGTCACTCTTGGAGCTATTTCGTAGTCTAACAAGGCATCTGTAGCTGGGGTAGTGAGCACACCTTAGAGTAGCCAAAGTCACAGATTTTCAACCTTGGAGCAGGGCTGCCGTCCAGGAGGGTGTTCTCAAGTTTCAAGTCCCTGTGGCAAATTTGCTGCAAAGCGAGGCACCAAAGTTAGAACAGCATATTCCAGACGCAATTTTAAGGTGTGCTGGCAGCAATTGATGTCCATGAGATGAATCAAGTGTGACCTGCAACAAGTCTTGGACAAAGTGGGAAAGAACTGGAAGCCTCACCATGGCATGGCAGTAGCTGACGCCTGACACTAATTGTTGAAAGAAGTAACGCGCCTGCACAAAACAAAGGACAGCATCTGATCATCTTGACACTGCTTTGATGTAACACTGGTGTCCACAGAGCGAGCACCTCCAACACCAATGCATAGGACTCGGGGTCAGCCAACCACTTATTGAATGCGGAACAACGGCGGCAAGAATGACAGAAGTAGTGAACCAGCGCACCTCATCCTCACTGAACCTGCCGGCATTGCAAATCCGTTCGAACAACTCCCCCCCGGCTGCGTACTCCATAACAATGGCCAAATGAGTAGGGGTAAGGAAAACCTGAGGGACACAAAAGGACTTTCATGTTAGGTTGGGGCAGAGTGCTCGAGCCAATGACACCTTTCAATCTCCAACGAACCGGCCATCCATTCGCTTAATGCCCTGAGATCTATACATGTATCCTCAAACACATGTCAGCCCAGTTGCTCTACAACTGCTGCCCAGCTTCACAATCCGGTTTATCATGTTGCACCCCAGTGACATGTACATGGCCATGATCTTGTCTATTGGCCACTTCAGTAGAGGAAGCCAAGGACATGCATGCAGACCATGGCACCTCCAAGTATGCAATACATGATAGCAGTTGAACCAAGTAAGCAATGCGCTTGCAACGTCCTGCCAGTAGAGACCTTCCAAGTGCAACTTACCTCTTTGAAGCGCACAATATTTGGGTGCCTAAGCGATCGATGGTTGATAATCTCCCTCTGAACATTCTCATCGATCTGCACATCCACCAAGGAGAGAAATGGCACAATCAGTCTCCACTCTGGACAGGCAAACCTGCACCCAATCTTTCCTGACCATTCATGCATATTGGCACCAGATTATGCATCTGAAACTCCATTGCTCTCACAATGTAACTCAGACGGAGCCCTTCTGTAACGACTTACCTTCTCTCCCCTCTCAATCAGTTTGACGGCCACCATCTCCTTTGTCCGTTTGTCACGATAAAGCTTTGCCACGCCAAAGTTGCCGGACCCAATGTCTTTGATTGGCTCATATCTATCTGATGAAGCCATCGTCCAAGCTTTGGCAAAAGAAGCTTCAACCCACAAAAGCTGCTGGCACTCTGATTCCAAACTGTCACCAAGTTCAGCGAAGTCTGCTTAGTCGAACAACAACCGTTCAGGGTCCTTCCAGAAGAACGTTCCACCGTAAGCGCTAGCTTCTGCTCTCCACCCAGGGCGTTTTTTCGCTCCTGCTCCCTTTGCTAAAGTAGGCAGTACACAAGAGCAGCCCCAACTCCAACTCCAAGAAGGCCAAAAGAATGAAGATACAGGAGCCGCCCTCTACCCTAGCCTCTACAGGTGGCTGGATTCCCTATACCAGCCTGGTCTTGACTTTTGACTCGAGAGACCTCCAGGAGGCTGGGGGAGGGACCTGGGTAGGTACCGGCTAGTCGAACCAGGTACCTGATGTATTATATATACCTAAACAGGTGTGGACCGCCCTGCGTCGGAAACCGGGGTACCGTACCGGTAGGTACCAGATCCCAGATTCCAGCTAGAGCTGGAGTGTGACTCAGGCCCTGGGCCTCATGCCCCAGGGGCCCGAGGAGTCACATGGGTTCCGCCGACTTTGATTAGAACGGTGGGGTGCAGGACTGTTCTCGAGACGTCTACAGACGGTCAAATAGCTTGTCTTGAAGGTGCTTGCCAAGTGTCATCAATCGGCCTCCTCCATCCTGTAGATTCCACTTGTAGGTACCGAACGTACCGGTACCTACGTACCGGTACCTGAAAAACTCGCATGGGTAGGTACACGAGCAAACCCTAAAAGCTGGCCGGGCTGGAGTCGCTAGTTTTAGGGTTTGTCAACAGCACCTTTATTCATTTCATTGTGAGCGCTCAATGCCAATGCCAATGGCTCTGCGAAGTGCAGCAGCTTTTCTGACGATATTGAGGATCTTGTAGCCTGTAGGCCTTCAGGCAGGAAGGCAGGAAAGCAGGCTTCGTGGGTGATTGGGAATTGGACTACTTTACCAGAGGGGGGCTACCGGAAAAAGGCTCAGCTTTGGTCGCCAGCTTGGGATGGTGTAATTGATTTGAAGAGGTGAGACCAGGAACGTTGGAATTGACTTCTCTATGAGTTGCGGAGGTCTTTCGTACAATCCCACACAGCTGCGACCTCGTGGTAGGTAATCTCGATTCAGGCGTAAGCTGATTGCGTGGCACATGACCTAACTTTCTCCTTGGTCCGTCGAGGGGGCTTTGAGTGGTGCTGGACATTGATTAGACCAAAAGTTGTCTACAACCAAACGAATTTTGGAACAAGTGGTAAGTATGTCTGTGTGTGTAGTGACCGTGTGATTTGCGGGTCAATGATTATTACTGACATGAAGGAGAGAAGAACACTGATTCCTTTCCACCCCATCTATCTGTGTGGTGATTTTCAAGAGGACGTACTACTTTCTCCCTGTTAAGATACTCCGTCGGTTAGCAAAGTGGCAGCATTGTGCACATTCGCGAAGGTGGTAGAGGTAGTATGAGCAAGAGCCGTCTGAGCAGCTTCGCAAGATTCATGTTCACTGCTGCACCTCTTCATGAGCCTGTCCTTGCCAGGTATGCAGCTGTGATTCTTAAGGCCATCTTCTTTAGATAGCAGGACTGTTTTCCCTGTACTTGCTCAACACCATGAACAGTCGTTCTGTACTGCAGGCCTACTGCTCCTGCCGTCTGCATGGGGGCAGGGGGCAGCCACCTGAGCCCCGCTGGTCAGGCTGCTGCTGCCCCTCCTGCTGGCGGCCAGGGGGCAGCGTCCTCTCGCCGCACCCTTCAGGATGGCCCCAGGAAGCTGGCGCGCCCCCTCATCTCGCGTGGCCCGCGAGGGGCGGGGGGGCTGCTGTCGTCGCTGTGGGGCGGCTTTGCTCCGGAGGCTGCAGCCCCGCCCGCAGCTAGTGACACTGAGCCAAGGGAGCTGGCAGCGGACTCGCGTGTGTGGGCCTTCACATACGAGGATGCGGGGGGAGGGCCCGATGAAGACAGAAAGTGAGCTCTTGCACTTCGCGTGAAGGCCGTCCGTGCCGCGGAGCTGGGGCTGTATGACAATTGTGTCAGAAGTGCATTCTCTGCGCTTCGAGGGCCAGGGCTGCTCCGCTTCGGAGGGGTGGGCTGCTCCGCTTCGGAGGGGTTCATCTCTTAGGCCCCACAGATGAGACGAACGTGCTGAGCCAGAGTATACTTCACAGCGCCTCCTAACCCCCACCGCCACTGTACAGCACTAGTCTGTTCCGGCCGCCGCTGGTCAGCGCTGCTCTTTCTGGCGCACAATTCATGTCTGCTCGCTTGATCATTCCTGAGCTCCTCCCCCCTCTTCTCCTTGACCCCCCCTCCCTGCCTGCAGGTACCTGGTGTGCCTCACCAGTGCGGCCGCGCGCCTGGAGGCGGTGGCCCCCCTTGGCACGCTGCTGCTGGTGAACGTGGGGTCGCTGCTGCTGCAGCCGGGCCTGTACTCGCTGTTCCACAACAACGTGTGCGAGCTGGGCGCCCACTGGGACGTCCCGCGCGGAGCGGCCGTGGCACCGCTGGACCTCCTCTTTGCCGCCTGCGCCTCCATGCAGAACTGGTGAGCGCCACAAGCGCCCCGCCAACAATTCCCAGACGAAGCCAGGTAGCGGCCGAGTGTTGCGGGTTCACTGTCAGTCATGCTCTAGTGGGGCTAACTTTTCGTGGACATGTTAGCAGGACGGTTTCGCCACTCCCATCGTGGTCCTTGCCACCTCGCTCGTTAGTGCGGCCCGACCTTGACAGCTGTGCTCGCCCCCCGCTGCGCAGGCTGGCCATTGACGACGACCACCTGGCGGTGCTGCACACGCGGGGTGCGCAGGACTTGGGTGCGGGCTCCTTCCTGCGCTTTGTGGCGGCGTGCTACCTCACGTTCAGCGAGGAGTTTGACTTCACGGTGGAGGCCCTGCAGGAGCTGCCGGTCGCACCACTGCGCAGCGGGCCTGCTTGGGCGTCCCACCGCCGGGGCAGCCCCAGCGAGGGCGCCTTTGGCACCGCCACCGCTGCACAGCGCCGCTACTGCCAGTACTTCGACATGCTGCACAACAAGGTGAGAGCGCGGCGTGCAAGCAACAGGGGCGGACGAGTAGGCGGCTTGCCGCTTGTTTGAAATTGAAGCTGCGAATGCTTGTCCTGAAGAGAAGGTAGGTGACTGTCTAGATTGCGCCAGGGAGCAGACTGACGGCTTTACCACATGCTGCACGAGCTGCACGAAGTTGCATCGTGGCGCCATCAGCCTGGAGTTACGGGGCCCGCTGCCATTGATCTCACTTTGGACTCGGTGCAATTGCATCGAGTCCTTGAAGCGACCCGAGATCTGCAAACGGTCTCCTAGAAGGGCGCTTTCTCTCTGCCTACCGGAAATGGCCGCCTGACCTGCGCCCAATGCACCGTGTGCGTTCAGACCATGCCGGCACGGCGCATGGGCGCGCTGCACCTGCGGCAGGTCATCCTGAGTGCTGCGCCGGGCGTGGATGGCCAGGGCGGCTGCCGGCCGTATGTCAAGGTCTTCTGGAGGGGGCAGGAGGTCAAGACCAGTGCGCCCGACCGCCAGGTGAGCCGGGCCCGCCTGCAACCAGCCGGGCGGAGGCCCCGCCCCTGGGGCCAGTCTGCAGTGCACGTTAACTGTGTGGTAGGTGATGCCTGCACACAGAAGCAGGCGTGAGGCCGTTAGTCTTGTGCATGGAGGCCTGCGAGCGGCGGCGGTGGGTGGCTCAGGCCGGGTTCCCCTGTGTGCAGGTGCCCGCCAAGCACACGGCGGCATCGGGGTGGCAGGTGCCGTTCGAGCTGGGGGTGGAGGTGCAGGGGGACGTGGCCATCACGGTGCACCACTACACCGGTGAGCGGCCGGGGGATGGGCAGGGTAGGGCACGCAGGGAGCAGCAGCCTGGTGGCGCAGAGTCCAGTCTGTGAGATATTCAGACGAACGAGGAGTTGCAGTGTCAAGCGGGCGAGTCCGATAAGTTCCCTCGTCCGGGATTTACGTGTGACTGACAGGACGGCAGAGTGGAAATATCCTTCTTGGCCTTGCGCGCTTGTCCGTGCCTGGCGTGCTCCCCTGCTCCGGGCGCCTCGCTGACGCCCGCTGCGCTGCCTGGCTGCAGGCGACATCTGGGCCGACGACCAGCTGCCCCTCCTCGTCTACGCCTTCCACACCGCCTTCACTGAGGCCGGCCTCGTGCGCGTCCCTCGTGCACAGGTAAGCCCCGGGCCCCCGCGAGCGGCCGCGTTCTGCTGGCCTCTCTGCCCGCCTGTCTCGGCCCCGCCTCGTCTCCGCTTCCTGCCTGCCGTGCTGACGCTCCGGTGGGCCCGCGCGTGGTTGCAGCTGGACAGCGCATACGGAGGCGCACTGGAGGTGCCCCCCGACTTCTTCCTGGACATGATCCTGGAGCCGTCCGCGGCCGCAGTGCACGCGCGCGCGGGGGTGGGCCGGGTCAGCCAGGACGGCGACCTCGACACGGACGGGCCCGACTGGAAGGACCTCCTCCTGGCAGGCACGCAGCATGACGCACCCGCGCACACCGCAGCGCAGGTGCGCAGGAACCGGGCTCACGCGAGTGGGCTACCGTGGGTCATTGGGCCACTCACAAGCTGGTTCGGTCTTCTAGTTGTCAGCGTTGTGGGTTGAGCCCGTGCATCGAGGCTGTTTGTCAACTTCTTCATCTCTCAGATAAGTTGTATTCTTGTCAGACGTGGCTTTCCCTGTACCGCCAGCACTGGCTGTGCTGCTGCCTGAGAGCCTCCCCGCTGCTCCGTGCTGCGCAGGAGAAGGGCCGCCGGCAGCAGGCCGTGATGCGCAACGTGATGAGTGAGATGAAGGCCGGCTTCGCCAGCGGGGGCACATCGGCCCTCCTGCGCAGGACGCCGGAACGGAGCCCCTCCAAGGCAGACGCCGACACGCCCACCTCGACGGCGCCGGATGCACCACCCGGCACAGAAGCGGGGCACCCAGCTGACGCCAGCGGGAGCGCTGGCGCGGGGCGCCTAGAGCCCGCCGACATCCCCAAGTTCGTGCCCCCGCCTCCCGCCGCCGCCCCCCCCTCGCCCCTCTACGTCGCCTCCTCCCCCACCTCCGCCGCCACCCGCCGACCCCCGCCCCCTCCGCGAACTATCCGGAGCACCGCCGCCTGCGCCCCCTCCCCCACCTCCGCCCCCTCCTCCGGCCCTAGCCTCCGGCTTGCCGCGCCCGCCGCCCCCTCCCCCACCGCCCAGGGGTCCAGGGCCCCCGCCTCCGCCCCGCCCCCCTGGCGCGCCCCCTCCGCCTGCGCGCCCTGGCGCCCCACCCCCTCCTGGGAGGGGCGTCCCGGCCCCCCCTCCGCCTGGGCGCGGTCCTGCTCCCAAGGAAAGCTCCACACGCGGCCTGTACTGGGCCAAGCTGCTGCGAACGGCGGGCACCATCTGGGCGGACGTGGCCGCAGAAGGCGACAGCGAGGCTGCCCTGGGGGGACCGGCGGGGGTGCGCGCGCTCGAGTTCCTGTTCCGCAACAAGGCCAAGAGGGGCACAGCAGGGGCCGCGGCGGAGGCGGTGGGCAAGCGCGGGCGGCGGGAGTCGGTGGTGAAGCTGATCACGGTGACGCGCGCCAACAACGTGGCCATCATGCTCACGCAATTCAAGGTGAGCAGCCCGCCCACGCCTCGCGGCAGCCACGGGGCACTGCTGAGTCCGCATCCCCAGGGGGCTCACAGTCGAGTGCGTGGTGCCAACGACTGTGTCACTGACGCGGGCGGGGCCTGGTTGCTTCGCAGATGCCTGCGGGGGCTGTGCGCGAGTGTATCTTGCGGGGGGCCGAACCGTCGGGGCCGGGCGCCGCCCTTTCGCTCGAGAAGCTGGGCCTCCTGCTGCAAGTAAGACCACGCCCTCACTGTCCGTTGGCCTGCCAGATCAAGGACGGGGCATCGGAAGCCAGCCACGGCAGGTTTGCTCTCGCCGCTTGGCGCGCTTTGCCACATGCTCGCTGACGACAAGCGGGGAGAGCATGTCGCGCTGTGCTGTTTTGGGTCTGCTCCGTGCGACACGTATTCGGAGTCCCCGCTGCCCCCTCGCTTGAGCGCACCGCGGGCCGTGTGGCGCTGTGCAGGTGATCCCCACGGAGGACGAGGTGGCGCTGCTGACCCGCTACGAGGGGCCCCCCAGCGAGCTGTCGGCGCCGGAGCAGTTCCTGGCCACCATGGCGCAGGTGCCGCGCCTGCGCAACAAGATCCAGGTCAGCGGGCACTGCTCACGGCCTGCTCGCGCGCGGGTGACCCCGCACAGCACCACGCTCGCTCGTCCTCTGGTCCCTGATGGGGCCGGTCGTCTTGAGGCACTCGCCGGGCGAAGCGTCCCTCTGATGGCCTCCTCTTGCGCTGCGCAGGTGTTGATCTTCACTCGCCAGTTCGGCGGCCTGGTGGCCGACACCGCGGTGGCCCTGCGCACAGTGCGCCGCGCGTGTGCACAGGTGCGCGAGAGCCACCTCCTGCGCCGCGTGCTGGCCGCTGTACTGGCAGCGGGGAACCACCTGAACTCCGGGTCCGCGCGAGGTAAGAGCAGCGCCCTCTTGGCACCCATCACCGAAGTACCGCTCGCCGGCATTGCTGCGTGCGTGCTCTTACCGCTGGAGGGGCTACCCCGCTGGCTGGGGCCGCCACGTCCCATCTGTGTTGCCGCGCGGAGCGGCACCCTCGGGCCTGACCCGCGCTGTGCCTTGCAGGCGGCGCGGCCGGCTGCACCCTGGCGTCCCTCGCCAAGCTGGCCGACATGAAGGTGGGGCCCCCGCACAGCTTGCTGCTGCAGCCTCTCTTGCGCTCTCTTAAGGTCGGGACAGCCTGTTGCACGTCTGTTGGAAATTGGCGCCACTCTGGTCGTCCTTCTCCTCGGCGCCGCTGCTTGCCGAGTGACTGCTGGGATGCGCCTTCTGCAGGCGACCCCCCCCGGCAAGGACGAAGCGCCCGTGGGCGCCGTGGGGCCCGCGGCCCGCGCGAGCAGCCTGCTCGAGTTCGTGGCCGCGGCGGTGGCGGCCGGTGGCGCGTCATCGCAGGGGGGCCCCACCGAGCTGGCGGTGGAGCTGGGGGCGGTGGGGGAGGCGGCGCGCTGGACCAACGCCGCGCTGCTCGAGGCGCTCGCCGCCGTCGACCGCGGCCTGGCCGCCATCGCCGACGAGTGCGCCGCCTGCGCCCCACGCGCACCACCAGCCGCTGGGGAAGGCAGCGCCGCCGCAGACCCCCCAAGCGAGAAGGGAAGCGCGGGGGCGGAGGAGGCAGACGGGGCGGAGGGCGGCGCCAGCGAGGCCGGGTTTGCGCGGCAGCTGCGCACGTTTTTGGCCGGGGCGGAGGTGCAGCGCGGGGAGCTGGTGGCGCTGGCGGACGCGTGCCGCGCCGACTTCCAGGCCCTGGCCACTTACCTGGGAGAGCCGCCAGCGACCGCAGCGCCGGAGGTGAGGCCGCGCAGCAGCCGCACCCGCGCAGAGAGAGCGAAGAAAAGGCTGCAGCACGCGGAACTCGTGCACAGCTTTCATCTTGTTGGAGCGGTGACGGCCTCTGCCCCGCCTGAGCGGACCGCCTTGTCTCTGCTGTGGGCGTGCATCTTGCCCCCTCTTGTCCCGTGTGCCGGCCCGGGTGGCACGGCTGACGCCGGCGTGCTCGTGGCTGTTGCCGCAGGAGGTGCTGGGCATGCTGTGGGCGTTCGCGGTGCAGTTCGACAAGGCCGCACGAGAGCTTCACCCGCCCCCACACAAGTAGGCCGGCCATCCGCAAGCTCCCGCGCCATCGCTGACAGGGTCGTCACTAGCCAACGGGGGTGGCCGCCCCCGCGCACGATCCTTCCCCCCGTCGAGCTGGCGTCTCCGCGCGGCCACACCGGCCTCGGGCTCACCGGCTGCCGCCTCAGCACAGGGCGGACACGAAGAGATGCCACAGGTGGGGGGCCAGGAACTCCTGCGCAATGGACAGCCCAACGCTCTCTTTTGAAAGACTCAAGTAGGCCAGGGCAGCATCGTGTGGCCTCTAACAGGGCGCCTCATAGCCTCCCCACACAAGGGACGCTGGTGTACCGGGTGCCTTTTATTGGGATGTGACATCTCGTCACGATCAGCACCCAAAAGGCCAGCTGGATCACGTTCTCCGGCTGCAAAGTAGATGACAGTTTTGCGTTCGGCAGATTTGCCCGCTTGGATGTCCGCCAAGACACTTGCCTGAGACAGAATGCAGAAGCAAGGGTAGCTGCTTGTTGCGGTCGTGACACAACTGCACATGACCGCCGAGCAAGATGATGGCACTAGGGGTCTCCTCGAACTTGTACTAGCATTGCGGGCTGACCTGGGCTAGAGCTATACGTTGGCCAGGATGCATTGCCTGTTGCGCGCATATGTGTTCGACAGCCCTCCAACATGTGATCCTCGCACATACTGATGTTTTGTCATAGATGGCCAGATCCCCTCTCAGAGATAAGTCGACAAGCAAGGTACTTGTCATCCGGGTTATCTCAATCACCCATGAACATGATAGCGCACTTGCAGTGTGTTCTTCAGATTGACAATCATCTCTCAGCTAGCCTGAGAGCTCTATACCTAGCTCGCACTTTGGGATTATTATCTGCAGTAACCTATCCGGGGTTCGTACTCTATCCAAGATTTGTCCTCTATGCGGACTTGCTTGTCTCTATGAAACTCGCTTTACAATATGGAAAAGAACAGCAGAGCGCGCTAGTTCTCCTGACAGCCTTGCGCTGACGGATTCTGTCGACACCTGTACATCAGTTAGCAGCAACAAAGACTTCATGTTGTTTCTCGACAGATTTTCCGTTCCTCGTCCCAATCAACTGTACAAGAACGACAACAATCATCTACATCGGAATTGCGCTCGCGCCTGAGTGCTTGTGCAAAGCTGGAACAGTCATGGCGTCCTCCAGGTACCAGATCAAGGCCTACCGCATCACTCTTCCCAACGCGACTTTGTCCGTCGGAGCCTGATGCCGCTACTTTTGGGCCTCACGCAATCTCAGGATCGTCGATACTGAGCCACTTGCGGTATCGCTCCAGCGAGTACTCAATTTTGCCGCCCGCATCCTTCATGACCTGGCCAAAATGCAGGGCGGATCCAATCATGTGCACCAAAACTCGAGGACACCTTCCAGGCACCAACACCTCGAGCAGCGGGACCCCAGCATACTGCGAACATCTCAAGTAGATTCATCGGAAGAACATCCTTGACTGATTCTAGAAGCATAACATTCACCGTACTTCAAATTGGGAGTGCACATAACAAGCAGGCAAGAGATCCTCCACAACTACCAAGGCCGAGGCTGCTCTTCCCTGCCACCCTGCATCAGCCCTTGTTCCCGCTCTGTTCTCTGTGTGTAACTCATTCCGTGGCCCGTTTGCAGTGGGCGGTGTCAGCTGACCTGGTACCAAAAGGCCCCGTAAACGGTGCGATACGGCGGCAGGCGCGCCATCCGGGTCTGGATGCGCGCCACTGTCGCATCCGAGAGGGGGATGAGGCATGGGTACGAGCGCATCACCCCCACCGTCTCACACCCGGGGTTGATCTGCGCGCAAGGGCCAGCAGCACGGCAGGTCAGCCCAGTGGCCCCTCGAAGCGCCCGTGTCTCTGCTTGCACACCACTCTTAACTGCTGAATACCAGGATGCCACTGTGAGGACTTCGTGATGTCCAGCACAGATGATGCCAGACGATCAGGCCGTGTGACCATCACCAGCGGGCCTCATTGGGGGTGGTGCATGCATTGCCGGCGCCCAGCGCTGCCCACCTGGATGATGTCCCCCACCAGCAGGGCACCCTCCCCGCCAGCCCCGGCCTGCCAGTGGCAGATCTGTGCACCCGCAAAGTGTCCGCCCCTGCAAAAAGAAAGCTGGCATTGGAAGTGCGTCCCAGCAAAGGACGAGGGACAAAAGACCTGGTACATTTTGCCAGATCACACCCCTTAGGAGGCAACTCCTGTCCAGCAATGACCAGACGATGTGCACGGCAAGGCTCACAGGTGCCAAAGGGAGAGGCCCCCAAAGAGGGGCTGCTGATCCCCCTCCCAGAAGTGGAAGTGCTCCGCAATTGCATCAGGGCGCACAGCCTCCACCCACGCCCTGCATCACATCAAGGCACGGTCAGACGGCCTGCGGCCGGGGCTGGAGCAATCCGCAGCCAAAGGCACAGGCACAGGGAAAGGGGCAGGCAGGAAAAGGCAGCGCCGCAGCGCGGGGGCAAGTGGCAAGCAGGCTGGGGGGGTCTAGGCGGGGGAGCAACTTGCCCCAGGCTGTAGAATGACTTCTTCAGGCGCGCACCTTTCTTTGGTGTGGATGTAGATGGGTGCGCTGAAGGCCCGGCTCCACTCCACGCAGGTGGAGTAGTAGTGCGGGTGGCTGATGGCAATTGCCTTGATGCCCCCCAGCGCAGTCACAATGTCGCGCGTCGCGCCATCCAGCAGCGCAATGCAGTCCCACAGCAGGTTCCCCTCCTTTGTGCTCACCAGCAGCGCCCGCTGGCCAATCCCGCTCTTGGGCTCCGTCCCAATGCCCAGCAGCTGCGGCTCCATGCGCTGGAAGGCGTTGCGGTGGCCGCTGCCCAGCTTGGCCAGCGTGGTCCAGCGCTGCCCGCTCTGCGGCACGTACTGGCGCTCATCCGCACACACAGGACAGTTGCCAGGTGGGGGGGTGGCGGACGGGGCGTACTGCACGTTGCACGTCTCGCACACAAAGCATTGCAACTCTGCGGGCCCTGAATCAGGCAATGCGTCTGCCAGGACGGGGGTCAATGCCGTGTAGTCTGATGCCGCCATGCCGACCAATGTTCGGACAATCAGGCAGGGGACCAATGGCAATGGCAAGATGATGGAGACAGAGAAGCAAGCTGGAACTGTATGTGGCGTTCTGTGCAAGGCTCCGAGTCAGAGCTGCAGAGTCGAGTCTGGAGTCTCGGCTGCTGACCGAGTCTCCGTGTCACAAGTTACAACTCATGAACATTCTCAGGAACCGGAATCCTGATACGCAGGAACTTTACTCCAGCTAACTCTGCTCCAGCTAATCCCTGGCCGATTTCTTGAGCCAGCGTGGCAATACTTTCACAGTACCCCGGGCACGGGTTACACCGAGTAATACGTACGAGTACCGAGCAATGAGCATGGAGAAGTCTGCGTACTGAGTGCGAGGAGTCAGAGGGGTTAAGACTTGGTTAGGGAGTTGAAGCAGCGGTTTAAAGTATATCATGTGAAGGACTGGATGTTGATACTATTAAACCATGTAGTACCTTTATCATGTCGATCTTGCTCGCGCTCGAGCCGAGTCGGGGTCTTCCATTTCATCCCCGGTAATTTGGAGTCTCGTCGGTAAGCCAGCGTGGCAATATGCTTTTATGCGATTGGATATGCGGTCAGCAGTCAAACCTTAGGGGTAGGTACCCGGGGGCCAGACATGAGCCTGGCCGGACCAACCGTGCCACTTTTCCGGTTCAGTGTCCCAACATTCTTGACTTGCGTTGCACAGAGTACCGTAGAGCCACGGTATCGGGGTACCGTACCTACAGAGTAGCAGTCCTACCTGGGCGCATACTCCACTGCCCAGTTGGAGTCTTAGGTCCCACGTCGGACCTTTGAAATCGGGCCGGATCGGACTTAGCTGGAGTAAAGTTCCTTAAAGTGAATCCTGAGACTTCAGGGTGAACAACATCTGGGTGCTGATGGTATTTGTGCAATTGGTGGTGCCAGCAGCCAGAAACGGATAGGTAGCTGTGCAATGAGCAAGTTGACGAAGCCATGCTCAAGGGGCGCGCCGCGGATCCGCTTTGAGCAACGGTAGTCCCAGGTCGGTGGTGGTGCCCTGCCGCGGCTGTCCTCATGGCACCCCCTGTTGCGGAGCCCCTTGCCCCTGCCCCCGCCCCCCAAGGCCCCCGGCTGAAGCTGCCACCGCTGTCCAATCCGTTCTTCTTTCAGATCATGCCCATGGTGGGGGCGGGAATTGGGGTCGGCTGCGGCGTGGGCATCGGGTTCGGCAAGCAAGTCCCATTTGGTACGTACGATTGCAAGTGGTTTTGGTGGGGAGAGCAGAGGCCACCACCCATCTTTCGTTCTCGTCTGCCGTCTTGCTCTGCTGTGCTCCTCTTGGCCTTGGCAGCACAATCAGAACCTTAGCGCAGCTGTTGCAAAGCCCGCGCCTGGCTGCACCTGCTGGTCTCCCAGCTGCGAAATGCCAGGCCCTTGTGTCTGTCTCTTCCTGTTTGTGGCTGCCCTGTCGTTGCCCTCTCTCAGCCCCATTCTGGCACCCCCCCCAGGCGTGGTGTTGACTGCGTGAGCGTGTGCGTGCAGCGTCGCTGCCCGGCTTGGATGGCATTGCCAGCGGCGTGAGCCAGGTGGGCGGCCAGCTGCGCGGGGTGCGTGGCTTTGTCAAGAAGGGGGTGAGCCACGCCACACCCTAGCCCCGCACCGCTGGCCAGGATGTTGCATTTGACAGGACGCTTTACAGACATGCTGGATTGTCCCCATGGTGCACGGTGTCCCCTCTTGTCAGAGCGCGGGCCAGTTGCCAGGCTGGCATCCGTTTGGCTGCCTCCATGGTGGCCCCAGGGGGTCCAATGTCTCCCTGCGCTCAGCGGGGGGTCGCACCAGGCCCCCACGTCGTCTGGTTCCTCCCCGGGCTCCTGTTCTTTCCACCCAACCCTGTGTTGCGGCGGCCCCTCCTCTCCCCGCCACCGCGGCAGGCTCGCGGAGGCGGTGATTGCGCTGGCGCCGGCAAAATGCCTGCTCCCGGCCACGCCAGGTACCATTCTTGCGCAGCATAGCAGTAGGGGCTTCTGACCAGTGGCGCGTGCACGTATGTGGTGCAGCTGGCCAAGAGCGGCCAGAAGAACCTGGACGTGGGGCTGGGCTGCGGGGTGGGCGTCGGCTACGGCTTTGGCGCGGGCCTCTTCCTGAAGCCGGGCGTGGGGGAGGGCCTCGTCGACAGCGCCAAGGCGGCCTGGGCCGGCGCACAGGAGCAGCTGCACACGCGCTACGGTGAGCGCGCCAGCCGCCGCGCAGGTGGCTCTTGTACACGAGAAGAGCATGTCCAGGGTACCCCCACGTACTAGCATCCTCTCTTAACGGAACCAGAAAGCTCTTGGGCTCATTGAGCTCCTGAGTAGTTGTGGAGCGCAGGCAATTGCTGCTTCTCACTGGCCCAACTGCGGTATAGTGGGGAAGGTGCTACTCCTCAGTCGGAAGCAGGAGAGGCACAGGGCCCCTTTCTCAGAGGGAGTCCCGACACTTGCCGAACATCAGGCACGGGTGAATCGTCGTGTTAGAGTCGCTACAGCGGCTTGCCCGTCCTGCAAGCCAGGTCATTGGAGGGCGGGCCCTTGGGTAGCCTGGGTGCGCCGGCATGGCATGGGAGGCCACCCGGGGCGGGCTCGTTGTCTTTGAAAACTTGGTGGCACGATTGGTGCAAGAGGCAAAAAAGGATGACAACACGAAGCGCCTCATTCCGGGCCGTCGATCAAGTATACTCGTGAAGCCGGCTAGGCCGCCTTAGCAAGCCTCTTTTACTTTTTGTGAGTTGTGACTCAGCAGTGAATCTTATGCTGCCAACCGGGTGTCCCATGAGGATGACATGACCCCTCGATGGGCAAGCACGAGCTTTCTCTTTTGCCTGGCAGGGCACCTCCTTCCCAAAACCGGAGCCACAAATGCAGAGCCGTCGGCGGAAGTTGGAGCACCTGGCCCCACCATCGAGAATACGGGGGTGATCGGAGGCAGGAAGGCCGCAAATTCACAACAGTCTGGAGGAGCAGTGACAAGCGAAAGCGAGGGTGAGACAGTGCCACAGGAGGCAGTTAAAGCGGAGGGTGTAGCAGTTCCTAGAGATCCATTAACGAGGGCCGCGCCAAAAGATGTGGGTGCTACAGACCGGGGCCCAAAGGAAAGTAAAAGAAAGGGCGCAGTCACGAAGCAAGGAGATGCGGATAGTGATGAAGGGGCAAAGTGGTCGCCAAGTATGCAGCAGGATCAGGGCGGCCGTGGAGACACGGTTGCACACGCAAAAAGGAAAAGCTCCGGAGGAGAGCGGGACAAGGAACTGAATCGGCTGCAATTAGAGAATGATGTATTGCGAGAGACGTTGCGACAACGAGAGTTGATAGAGCACCTAGAGGGCGAGGTGCAAACGCTTAGAGAAATGCTTAGTGGCAAGTCCGTATGCAGCCGATCTAGGAGTCTTGGGCTAGGCACCACCCCTTCATTAGAGGATCTTTGTTTCAAGTGTCGGCGGGTAGCACTTGGAAGACGAAGGTAACGGTGCTTGGTACTCACATATGCTTGGACCATAGATGGGCACTGGACTGCTGATCCTCTTGGATCGAGCAGTCAATGTCAAGCTTCTCATACTTCAATTGCATGGTCTCTCGGAATGCCGTGGTACTAATGGGCGCATACATAGTAACCTCAATCCGTACATATCGACACGAGTACGCAAGAAGATTGTCTATATGCGGTTACCAACGCAATGAGCAATGAAAATGTAATTCTTCAATTCATTGCGGCACCTTTTCGAGGCTTGACTCGCTTGGAAACGAGTTTCACATCTTTTTTAGTTTCGAATTCAAAAAGATAACACGGCACCTTACAAATTTTGTTTGCATTCAATCCCATACATGTGCAGGAGCAATTGGACTCAGGTTTACCTGAAGTGTCGTCAGTATCTGCCGGCCAAAGCTAGCTAGGGAAGCATGCATTATGAGTGATTAATGTACCTGTATCGATTTGATGTCATATATAGCTTGTAGTAAAAATTCGATTCTTTCCGACCACGTCACTTGCTAACTACCTAGTATTGAACCATCATAGCCTCATGCTATGATGATAATTATGTTCTGAAACTTCCTCGGGCTAAATCATTTTCTTTGCAAGCCGAAAATTAACAACATGTAGGGTTCAATAAGTTTTTAGATTGCGAATCAAAGCCCGAAAAATTTGTGAAAACATGCGTTATAACACGTTATGCGTGCGTTCTGCATCAGGCGAGGCTTTTATGCTTTCCTCATGCAATTCCATTGAAGCGG